CATCCTACAACAATAGTGAGAGGATGCTATTGTCCCGGATGCTAAGCAGACGTCGCAGTTTGACTACCCATGAAATCTTGACAAGCTTTCTAGAACGGAGGTGTCGCATCTCACGCTCTACAAGCATAAACGTTTAAAATGTCACATAATATCGAAACATTCGACGTGTAATTTCGTAAATTTATAAGATTTAAACAGATTTTCAACTCTGCTGAAAATTTCCTGCAAAGTGGACGGGATATAAAAAAATTAATTAAAATTTTACAAACCTCAATTTAAATTAAATAAAACTCTAAATAAATAAGTTGTATTATATACAGTTATATATTATATATAAAATTCTCATTTGCAAATAAAAAGCTATTGAATTTTTAATATTGTATTTGTGTATTATTTTGTGTGTAATTGTTTATTAACTTCTAACAATAAGTGTTAATTATTATTATTATTTCTGAAAAGTTTTATTTAATTTTACGAAAATTTAATATCACGAAATTACGCGTTTTTAGTTTCAACTAGTTAAATTATCTCCGCTTTTTTTCACGTCAAGTTGAAAAATTATTGCGATATTTACTTACGCAAATTTATCAGGCTTTCTCTGAAGAAAATACAGCTCCGACAATATGAACAGCACTGTAGAAGATTAAAATTTAATTAGAAGTATTTCAAAGTGGAAGAAAACATAATCTCATTGTAAACAGGAATGTAATTAAATTAGTTATTTTCAGTTTTGGAGAAGGAATCTATTGCAGGAATTTAAAAGAATACAGTGATAAATGAAGGTAAACGGACTGAGAAGCAGGGTAGCCCAAGAAGTTTCTTTAAAACATTTTTATTAATTTTCTACACAGTAGATCCACATCTCCAAACACAGTCTATACATTCGCGCTCTGTATCCACGCGATACATAATGATCTTGTCTCGTACACATACACACGTATTCTTTAGTCATGGCATAAAAATGCTATTCGCAACGTTTTTGCAAATATATCACGCATTAGGCTTTCATTATGGCGGATGCATAGCAATGCATGCAACTTTTAATTAAATTATCGCTATTAATCGCTATTACGGCGATATAACTGTTAATTAATAATTGTGGAGAGATAATTGATGCAGTGATTAAATAAATATGTAGGTCAAAAATATTTTGAGGGAAATATAAAATTAAAAAGTATTTTTGCCAATTGATAATGACGAGTTTTTTGCGTATGTATGTGTAGTAATTAACTAAATTTTTTAAAAGTCTATATGTATGTGTATAGTTAAAAGGAAATGCATTTATATACATATACTTACGAATTGATTTCGTTTCAGGTACATTAAATACTGATTATTGAATTGATAATTAATAATTATACGTACTGAAAATATATGTTGTTAATTATAGTCGTTTCAATAATTCCATAAATAAACCATTAATATCCTGAAATAAAAAATACGCATAACAAATTATTACGTCAAAATGTGAATGCATGTAGACGTCGAAATTTATGAGAAAATGAATGTATCCATATTTTAATGTATTAATTTCCCTAATATCTAGCAATATTCGCCGCAAATTAGTCGTATGTGACAACCTCACAGCGAATTAGCCTCTTCGTTACGTATCACGATCCGTGAAACCACACTGCAGTAAATATAGTTATGCAACCTGTAAATTCCGCCATGCGTGTGAGCATTCCAGATAATTACAATCTCTCGCAGAACGATATCTTGATATCAATCTAAAGTTTACGGAAATTACGCGCCCGTAAAACGAACGATAAATTTTCTCATTCATGCTATTGTCATTAAAATACTACGTGTTTCTTTTTTCCATTGGGAATGTCTTTTTTGTCTAAGGCCGATTTCAGACGATCGATGATTCAGGATATACCTAATATATAAATTTATATATATATTTAATCTCTCTCTTTTTTTGTGTTTTGTTTTTTTCAAACCCTTTCGCGAATCATAAATCATCTGAAATCGGTTTATTTCCTTTTTCTCTCTTACGATAAAACTGCTTTGCCAACTTGATTGCTCGCAAAACCGCTTTAACGCCAGAAACGTCTCGTAAACATCGATTTACAACGTTGCACATTACATTACATTAGGAGGACACTAGCCGCCTTTATACGTAGCCTAACAGATACGTGATATACGAATGGATCGAGCCAGCGAACGATTTCGTAGCAATTTCGTACCTCGTAACCCGTAATTCGTTCTCCGTAAATATATAGGGAAGAGATTAGAAATTGAAATATATATAAACGATCACAATAAGGAAGAAATTAGAAAAAGTTGAAATTTACATAAATTGAAATCAATTTCCGTTGATAAAAATGTTCTACTTATTATAAAAAAAATAATATAATTTTGTTCGATATACATAAATTATTTTATGTTAAAATATCATGTTTAAAATTAAATAAACTTTATAATTTATAGGTTTTTTTATAAATTTCCTTTATAAATCTCTCTCTCTCTCTCTCTCTCTTGTTTTTTTACAGCTTTGAAAGTTAAACTTATTCAAGTTATTGGAAACTGCTATCTATGTAATTTGAATTTCAATTTTCATTAATTACAATTTGTAATTGCAGTAAAAAGACGTCCACGATATCGTCCACGCTCGACCGCTATTTACGTTAGTGATTGTTCTGCATTCTGAAGTATACATAACTATATACGTATACCGTTTTCTTTGATCTGCCAGCCGATGACATAAAAAAAGTTAATGAAAGAAAAAAGGAAAGATTGAAAAATTAATTACACCTTTATAGAACCGATTATTTTGTGATCATCCCGTTATCAATCTATTCCAAAAATATGTTCCATTAAATAACTGACCAAATTAATCTTAGAAAAAGGGCTTTATATTCCATAAAAAATATCAAAAATATATTACATATATTTTATTTATAAGCATTAATATCTCGACTGAGATGACAGTAAAATATATTACAGAATTTTATAAAATAATATATTTTTATATTATTAATTTATTTAATATTAATGCTGCCGTATGCTAAATCTTATTAAAATCAAGAAAGCATTCGTGGCAGTGTTAATAAAATAATAATTTTGTAGGTAATAACTGTTTCTAAAATAAACGTATTACTTCTTCCGAAAAAAATAACAATTTTGATTAAAGAAAAGCCCTTTCTGAGATACATCGATCCAGTAAAATTTCAATGACTTCGTTTTTTAAGACTGTGCACAAGACTTCTGAAGAAATTAATTAGATGATGCGGACGATAACATATCAACAAAAACAACTCAATTCCTCCATTTCTTTTTAAACGTTTCCAAAACTTAAAAATTAATTCGATCCAAATTGGAATTGAATATTCTCACTATGTTCATTATAATAAACAATATACAATAAATTATAATAAATATATAATATATGTTACGATTAACGAGGATAACGGAACATCATCAACATTCTTACATCTTATTGCTGTACATATAGATATACTGTGTATATGAGTATATATAATATATTCTGCTTCATCTTTGGCATTTTAGTGATTCTCTTTTATACGATGCCCCTCATAACTTTTATCTATTCCGATAAAATGATTTGTCTTGCGGGAGGGATGATACGCTTTAACATTTATACACGAAGTTACTCGAGCCTAAACGAACGCAGATTCGTATTTACAGTGATACCTCGTTTAACGCTAAGAGCCCGTTATTATAAATCCCTTTGATTATAACGAAACGCGCTGCCGTAGCGCAATTATGTACAAAGTGATCCCCTAAACGAGTAGAACGGCTTTATCTCCCGCCTTCCAACCCTTTTCTTTGGTCTCTTTGTTTTTCCCTTTGCTTCTCCTCCAATCGCGGGACTGCGTCTACGGAAATACCTCAAACCACCAGATCCTTTTAATTAAACCTTTCTCACTTTCTTGCAAATTATTCGATTAACTTCAAGCTAATTTCTCGTTTCGAAAAAAAAATCCTTTTTTCGGAGCGCATATAACTTTCGGTTAAATTCAAAGACTAATTTTTCCGCTAATCTATCCAAAAATGTGAGTAATTAAAGACGAAAATAATGGATATAGAATGATCTTTTGATGACGTAAGCTTCAAGGATCCAAATTTGCTAACATATTTGTACATAATTAATTCATTATAGTATTACATTGGTGTTTACACAACCACATTATTTTTTCAATTTCAGATGGGCAGAAATTTAATTTGTCGCAAAAATATATGATGTCAATCAAAGCAGAAGTTCGCGCACGAATCAAATGTTAGTTCGAAAGTTCATTTCGACGTTATCGGACCGCCGCTAAAATATTACTGCCTGAATCGGAACATCAATCTGCCGACGGACAGAAGCCTTATTTACGGACCTGATGGAACGCTGCTGGGACAGAAATAGACCCTTGGGGACGAGCGGCGAATGTGTCCCTTAAAATAGGTCGGCCGCAGGACGAAATAGGCACGAGTATGGCGTACATACTCTATTCACACTCTCTTTGGGACTATAAACCTCTCTCCCGCAAATCGTATTTGGTATTTGCGAATACTTGATGCAAATGTATGACGTCGTACAGCCTTTACGACCTTAGTTTTAATTATTTAAAATTTGTTGACGAATTTGAAACGATCTTAATTTTAATGATAAATTCTTTGTGTGTTTTTTGAACAGTCTTAGTTTTAATGATAAATTCTTTAAAATATTCTTTGCTTTCTTATTCTCCTTTATATTTTATTATATCCCTGAATTTCTTTTTTAAATCTTATCTCAAAGAGATAATCAGAGAAGACCATCCATAAAAAGAAGACGCGATAAGACAATAGTGAATACCAACATTCCCGTAACATTAAGTTGATCAAAAACTTTAATAATTTTTTTTTTGTTTCGCTAGCATAAAAAATATATTTTATTTTTCAAAAAAAAAGTTGAATTTTTGTCAAGCTCTATGACTTTTCTTATATTTTAGAAATTGAATTTTTTTTTAATTAAATCTTTTCTACATCTTTAAAATTAATTCATTAAACTCGACATTTTCATACAAATATAAGAATATTATTAAACTATCAAATTATCAAACATTTTTGTATAGGAAAAGGAAGAAACGAATTCTTTGATCTACCTGACTTTTGGGATACCTGACTTTTATCTGTCCTGCCGCTTCGATCCTACTCATTTTTTTTCTCTATTCAGAAGATGTTCCGAGGACTCCGCCGTTACTTTCACTCTCGCCGGATCGCGTGATCCGTTCAAATACACGCCTCAATGTGGACGTTGGTCATCTCGCTATTGCGTAACTGATTGTTGACGTGCAGCTCGGACGAGGCGTTGCTGTGCACGAGATCCTGTTTGCGATGCACCTGGCGCAGATCGCGTACCGGTCCGATCGCGCGGCAGCAGCTTTCGAGGGTTTTGCGAAAGGCTGCGCGAAACTCGCGATTGAAGTACGCGTAGATCAGCGGATTCAGGGCGCTGTTGAAATAGCCCACCCAGAACACCGTTGCCACCACCACCTTGTCGCTCTTGCACGTGTCGCACAGAGCCGTGATGACATACCTGTATCGAACAGAATTCATAATGTTAATGCATTGAAATAAATCATACAGCGAAATTGGTCCCCTCAGATTTCGTTTTTTTTTTCAAAAATCGAATTTTCATTAATTTTTTATTTAATACATACGTTATGCAATAGACTTATTATGTATACTCTCTAAATTTGAATCAGTGGAAAAGTTACTGATTGAGTCAATAACGCCTTGCATCGCTAATAAATACGTGAAACTGAGCCGAATCCGCTGTGCAATTAGCAAAAACAGCGAAGTCCACTGATTTGTCAACGATTATTCATTTATTTATTAGTGATTTTCGAGAGACAAAGAAGTTGAATTCTACTGATTAGTGACATGTACTTGGAACTGATGCATTCAGTGAATGACCATTGATAATCAGTGACTATCCACTGATTCAGATTTAGAAAGATATATATAATTAAAATTTTTAACTTAATAAAAGATTTATTACGTATAAATTAATATCGTGGATATAAGATATAAAAAGCTGCATATTTAATTTAATCAATAAATTTGAATAATAAATATTGACTGTAACAAATATTGACTGTGTAATCAAGTCACGCAATAACTACCACACGTAAACATGTATATATTTTATAAAAAACTGTTGCTCTTTTCAAAATTTTATAATGATACATTTATTGTTAAGTATATTAGATATGCTTAATATTTTGTAATGAGTTCTCAACTACAGATTGTATACATATACAATCGTCATATCATATGATTATAATTTGTCGTATGACATGTGATTATGACATTTGCGATATGATTTAAATATTAAATAAACTATAATAATGTAAAAATAAAAAAGGATATTTTTTATAATTATAAAAATGCACACAATTTGGTCGCAAAATACATGCACGCAAATACATTATGTATCCATAATGATCTGTATATTGTATCTCCGGAAAGGAAGAAACGAAGTATCTCATTTTCTGTCGGCGTGACCTACATGCACCTGACGTCGAAATTGTTTCCATCGACAAGGGAAGAATGGATTTACAGGCTTCCAAAGGGGGACGATCCTCCACCTCGTCGCGATCTCTCTTGAACCACATTGTTATACGATTTCTCCGTTCCTCCTTTCCCATTATCGATTTGAAAGGGGCCAAATAATGTAGAAATAACTGTATTGAATCGCTCAATGTTAAAATGCCGCGATTCCATAAAGCTAAAAATAAACCGTCTACTTCGGAATCTGCTCTAAATCTGCTGGAGATCTACTTGTTAGAACTTTCCCATTTCGGAATAACATCTCTTTTCATTCGAAGAAATGAAAAATTTAAATAAATTTTAAGTAAGTTTTGAAAAGCAGGCTATATTTATACATTTCTAATTTTTATTTAAAATTATTTCTGCACAAAATGAGAGTAGGTTAATAAAATCAAGAGTAATCAAATTATATCTTCCAATCAAATTTGTAAAATAGATTCTGAAACATGAGTCGATAAAACTTCTTGTAATTATTTATTTTCATTTATTCAACTTTCTATTTTTATCTATTATTATTATAATTATGTAACATTCTCGACGGATCCCACTATCAATTTTTTTTTAACTTTTAATACAGTGTCCATAAAAAGGCACAGAAGTTAATTAAGAAAAATAAATTTTACTCCCACAAAACGCGAATAGTATCGTCGTGTTTTTACGCGCGTTTACATCATTTGATCGATACAAATCGAATTATGTGTCTCGTATTAGTGTATTAGCTGTACACTAGCTAAGAATAGAACGGCTACCGGTTAAGGTCAACTTTCTTGTTTCTTTCTACCTATGTGAATGGCTAAAGTTCTTTACACATTGAGATAGTTTCTCATTGACCGTTGCATCGTTCAATTCCTTTAAAACTTTTATCCGTTTTTCTTCGTCTTTAACGATAGCTGGCGCAACATAATTGCTATACAAATCAATACTTGATTTCTTTTGCCTACTTTTTATGCAATAGTCTGCACCTTAATTTATCATGCAATCAAAACAATTTTTCATGCAGTGGGCTCTGCATTAGATCGATAAATTGTAATCAGTGACGATATAGCACGAGATCAAGATTTTATGTATGTATGTATATAGATAACAATTGAGAATATTTCCAAGATTTATTTATAAATAAATAATGCAGGCAACAAAATTATAAATAAATTTTTCTTTCGAATTTTCATTACACTGTATTATATTGTACATCGTCCAAAGTAATCCTTACAAAATTTACTTGTGTCCCTGTTACGTTGACAGATTCAATTTTGTCTCAAGGAAATATTCACACAATACGAGTAGTGACACCCTGAGACGTGTCAGACAAATAGAATCGAAAAAGCTTGGGCAAGAATGGAAAAGTGGGTCAAGGATTTGCCCCGTAATGAGGCCAGGCGAAGAGGGAAAGAGAGAGGAATAGAGTATTGGCTTGTATTATTCGGCGAAATAATGGGAACAGAGATCCGATTCACGAATATATAGGAAAATTGATAGCCGTATAGTGAATTTAGCGGCGATATTATAGTGGAATCGCGACGACGAGAAATCAATTCCATTGTTTTTCCGACGGAGCGAGAGAGTCGGTGGAACCACCGACAACGGTGTAATGACAATTGATAACGAGCAAATGATCGAAAGCTACGAATTGTTCCGCTTCTTCCTCATGTTTTCCATTCGGTACGTCCCGAGTTACCGAGGCAACGCACCACCTGTTATTATCGCAATGATATATTCTAATTCACGCTTTATCTTCCTCGAACGACTGATACAATTGTGAAGTAAGATTAATAATGTTAAGCACTAATAATATAAAATAAAGAAAATATTTATAAGGAAATATGGAATACAGAAAATACGGAAAATATTGTGTTCCATAATACTAATAATACCTATAAGAGATATAAATTTTATTAACTATATCACCCCGAAATTACAGAAGATTATCAAAATGCTACATATATTTAATAAAAAAAAAAACAATTGGATATAAATTCGACCAAAAATCCTCTTGAACATCGTGATTATAGATCACCGCAATTTACTTTGACGTGGATCACTTGAGAGATCAAAGAGATCTGCGAAAGTGCAACAGGATACGAAATATGAAACTAGCTGAAAGTCGATTAAACTCGAACATACGAATAAGCATTTGCCTTTTCCTCTTGCTAAGCTCGCTGATTTTCGGATCGATTTGGATTATCGCGAAAACATGACAACTGCGCTTTTCTTTCCCAGCCCTCTTTCGAATTATTGAACTTTCTTGACGTCCGTAGGGAATTTTTCACAAAGTGAGAAGCCACTAAGTGATTACATGAAAAAACACTTTGGTGCGTCCATATTTTGGGAAGGCCAATAATGTTATCGTCCCAGTTTTCGGTACAAAAATCTGATTTATTTATTATTTTATTTATTTAAGACAAAATTATTAATTTAATTTTCAATGTATTATGATAAAAAAATCTTTTCTTTCTTATATGATAATTTTTTTTATTCTCTTATATATAATCTCTAAGTTCATTAGAAAGTATTCACATGTTGAATTTTAAAGAATACTAAATGTTAATATAATTTGATCAAAATTTACTTCTATTTTTTTAATATTAAACTTTATTAAACTAATCTTAAAATTAAACTTTATTTTATATACAATTTTGAAATCAAATAAAAATTTGTAAATTTCTCTACTTTTTATTGAATCGATATAATTTCTGTAAATATTAATTAATATTTTATTATTAAAACAAGTGAAATAACAAATAAAAGAATAATAGAAAAAAATTTTCCATTTTTTATTTTATTTCTATATGAATAGTTTTTATCGAACATAACTGGTTTGCAATATAACTTTGTACGTTTTTTTCGAAATCCTACACAAAATATTGTGCCTCGTAAAACAGCAACGTAACTATCCATATCCATTAAATACGAGCGATGAATGTTGTTTATCGTGTGCTAAAAACTCGTAACAAAAGTTATGAAAACTAGAGGGATGTACCAACCAAAAAAGATAAAAATGTATATTTTTCACTTTAAATATAAGTATTTATCGCTTAGAATTATATAAACACATTACAGTATATAATATTTAATATATAAAGAAAATGTATATGAATATACATATTATTTAATGTGAAAATTTTTCATATCTTTGCATTACATATTAAATTAATTAATATTATATTTTACATAAGAAAAATATTTAAATGCAAATTTTACGGTAAACAAATACGTACAACATATTAAATATTTTTACTTATAAAGTTTTTTGCTTTAAACATACATACATACGGCTTACGTAATTCCTTCGTTAATAAAGCCTGGTATTTTATTGAAAAAGTCCTGTATGTATTAAGAAGTTAAATTTAGAAATGGCTGACTTTCGTCGTCGTCAAGTCTATTGTAATGTGTCATGCCACTGCGTTATATCTCGTGGAGAGGCACTTGACACATACCGGAACCACCCTTTCTTCGCTTCGAGGTGGCTGCACACAACCCTCAAGCTTTCTCCGTTGCAAATCTCCGGAGATCGCGGCGGCATACACTACTTTTCTCTATCGATCGCGGCTCCCTATATAACCGTTCGACCAACCGACTCTCACCTCCTTTCCGCGTTACTGCACCCCCAGGAATTTTGGGGCGACACGGCGCAATATTCCTCGGCCGTCCGCTTTCGTTTGGACAACGTTCGATAATAATCGTCAAATGGACGATTTCTCAAGATTGACCTCGATTGATGCGTATCTTTTCCAGGCACTTTCGGCTATCGTATATAGCGTAAACATGTATACACAGATTACGAGTATATATCGCGTGTGTGTGTACATATATGTATATGTTATGTGAAGAGAGATTGCAAATATAATTTGAATTAATCAAAAATAAATTTAGAAATTACATATAATACTATTGCAAATTAATAACTGCTTATATTGTATTATATAATCATTATCAATTCATTTTATATCAAACTCTCCGTAATAAATAGGACGTCCCTTATTAAGCGCACTTCCTTTGAACGATCTTTTTGCCAATCTCGAATTGATTTTTTTTTCCATTAAAAGTAACGTCGGAATACCGTGAAACTGCTTTTGAGTTGCAAGCATTTGAAAATATATTTTTAAAAAACTAAGCTTTGCGTAGAAATACATCCGTATAATAAAATTCTTTGTGTTATTTATACGTCAATTTTATAATAGATTTTATAATCAAATTTTCAGTTATACAGATAGGAAAAATGAAAAGTTTTATCAAAAATTGTTAGAAAATATAAAACGAAAAGTTGCGATAAGTCAATGTTTTTGCTAAGAAGCAATTTATTTTTTATCAAAAAATCTGTAGTTCAAAAAAAAAATGCGTGAAAGATGCCGTATATGCAGTATCATATGTAAGTCCATCATCAGCATGTTCGATTTTGTAATTGCAATTCTTTGTACGTACGAAAATTTAAGAATAACTTAGAAATAACATATAATGCCGGAAATTACAAATGATTACCTGTATTACTATGCACAATCATCCACTTACTAAAATCTCATGTAATATGCGTATCCCATAATATATTTATTACGATGAAAGAATACTCAATTTTCTACGGTCATATAAAATCTCTGACGATTCTATAGAACTTTGATGAATGCAAGCAATTGTCACATGTCTTCTCATACAATCATCTGTAATTTTATAAAATCATACATAATTTCATGAAATCACTGCAATTTCATAAAATCGCATGGATTCTCCCGAATAAAGAATTAATTAGAATTCCATTGCTGATGTTCGCGATGTTATATCATCATCAATAATGAAGACACTTACTTTTAAATTTTAATTACATTCTCATCAACATATAAAAATTCTTGCTTTTATCTTCATTTATCATTGCTCTATATTTTTATCAATATATTGATATTTTTCTACAGTTCGTGATTTGACAATATTTCTCATTCGGAAAAGTTGTTGAGTCAATGAGATTGCTCTGTATTAAGCAATTAGCGAACATTGTAGTTGGTGTACACAATATTTTTCTTCTCTTTTCTTCTTTTGCTTTTTACACCTCGCGTTGTTTGCGCAAAAACGGAGCGAAATGAAGATGCATCCTACACGCGCTACATCTCGCGTAGTTCTATTTACGTTCAAAATTAATTATCGAGTTTCAAGACTATTCTCTCGCCGAAAACGTGCTATTCTCCAAGATACTTCGCTGAACGAAATATTTCCCTCGACGAAACTTTCCATCCGATTCGAAGTAAAACAGAACATCTGTCTGCGTATCCTTTTTTTCTTAACAACTAACGCAAACAGTGTTAAGAAAAAAACTAGTAAATTCTTTATTTAGTGTAATAAAAGATGTATAATATTGTTTTCCTCTTTTTAGCACTTAAGCAGTAATTAACTTAGCATAATGAGGATAACTAAAAGGTTTTTTAAAAACAAGTGAAAGGATTATACAAGTCCCAAGTGAGTGTGCGTGAGTCTCTTAAAAGCATTAGGAATCCTCTCTCGAAGATAACGCAACGTCACGCCAACGATTTACCTCACGTACGTTCCACCCACGATTAATTAACGAAGCGAACACGAAGCGAACATGCAGCCAACACATTGTACGCTATTTAGCGCGAGAAAATAACGTTAATTACCATGACAGATTGTGCGCGGCATGTATTTCACGTTGATACACGTTGATAAGAAAAACAGCAATTTCGCATGTATTGTATTTCCTTATTTTATTATCGATCTATTTCTGAATATTCAATTTAATAAATACCAAAAGAAATTAATATTTATATTAATATTAATATTTATATTTATATTAATATTTATCTTCTATGTAACTGTTTATGAAACAATAACGTACTTTCCTCGTTAATAAGCAAAATTTTTAAACACAAAATTTTGTGTTTTTTTTTCATAAATTAATTTTAGCTACAAAGCTGTTAAAAACTATTTTTTCTGATTATAATCTTCTTTCTATCAGAATTTCGCCCACACGATTTTAATCTCTTTTATGATAATGAAATAAAATACGAGATTACAATTATAGAAAATAATAGAATATCAAATAGAATATATATCGAACATATAAAAGAGAAAATAAGGAAATAAAAAGTGATTTTCAAGTCTCATTGAGAATCTTATTGTATCTCAATAAAACAATAGAAATTTTCGCAAATCAACTTAAAGAAATAATAAATCTAATGTACGTTACCAAAGGAAGAAAGGCAGCCAACAAGCCAGAAACGCTGACATGATGATGCCGAGCGTCCTGGCTGCCTTCCGCTCTCTTTTCATTTTACTGCTGCTAGTTATCTGCGGCTCTTCCGGTTGCGGCTCCGGCGACGATTGGTCCACGGTCGGCAGAGATGTCAGACCGGCCGATATCCCGTTGATCTGCAGATGTTTATTTAGCAGAGCGGCTGCGACTTTGCTCCTAAAACATAAACAAGACAATGAATTATTGTATAATATATAATTGCATAATTACTTAATGTTGTGAAATACAATATCATCATGTTTTATAAAATGTTTTTCATTTAATTAATATTTTCTATTTCACTTGCGCGCGTTTCACACACGTGCACAATCCAGAATTTAACAGACTAACGATGATGTATTAATTGCATTAATTTCAATTTAATAACGCAATTATCACATGAAATATTATCAATTTTAAATCGCCTTTGTCGCGTTGCAGTAAATAGTTAATAATATTAATACTTATATTAGTCTTACAAGTCTTAACTTGAGTTCTTTAATTGAACAACAAACTTAGATGAAATTATATCTGGTCGCGAATAATCTCTAAGAAAAGATTCTTATACTTATAAATTAACAATTTTTATTAGATTTGTAAAATTCCGTAATTTATTCGGTGTTTGGCCAAAGTATCACGCGCTCTTTTTCTTCTCTGTTTAAAATCGTGTCACCAATGTTTATTCAACTTCGACCTTCTCGACCGCGAGTACGATGCACCGTCGGTTTTAACAGCACTTGGCCGTTATCCAAGTTTACTTCACGCTACCTTTTCGGTCTGCTAAACCGCATGAATTTAATGTCTTCCCGACATATGTACAATTATTTTATTGTTACTTCCATTTTGAATTCACCGCAGTACAGTTGGACAATCTTGAACTTTGACCTTCCGACCTAGATTTTTCATCGTAACTTGATGAAAAATTTTACAAGAATTAATAAAAGAATTTTAATATTTTATTACGAAGCCATGAGAATTATTTTATTTTCATAATATATTAAATTCTTTTCATTAGCTTATTTTATTACTATTATTATTATTACTGGACAGTAATATTTCTTAATAATAATAATAATAATTTGGTTATACAATTAAAAATTAAATATAAAAAACCACAACAATGTACATGTGTACAATTTCTATATTATCTTTCGAAAATTAGGATAATTCCTGAATTAGAACTGGAATAACTACTCCGATGTTGAAAATGTAATGTATTTACCCAGTGTATGTTTATTTTTACATGTGTTACTATGATATATATGTATACATATAATCAAGAAAATTGCACATCGTATATGTTTGGTGAGCTTTCGCATTCAAATATTGCATTCGTTATTTGATTTGCTTCGCCCGCGCGATTTAACAACGTCCATTTCACCGTACTTACTGCTGATTCACGGGAAAACGCAACTTCGAATTACTGCTCGCGTGAATTAATATAGCAAAATATTTGCAAAACGGATGTTTCAATTATCCATAAATCGAGAGAAGAAGCATTTTATATGTTATTTTATTAGAAAAATACCGCGCTGATAAAATATTTAAAAAGGACATTTTGTTACTGAATCTTTTCAAAGTATATTTGATTATTTATATTTTTTTAAATATTTATTATATATACACATGTATTAATATTTTATTTATTTACATTTTAAATATATTGTTAATTATTTTTCAGACAATATTGATAACACCAAAAACATCGTTATAATATATAATCATCATCTAAGCCCTCTTGTAAACAGAAAGATTGCAATAGGATTATAGTCATAATAAGTATTTGCATTCGTAATAAAAATTCCAACGATATCGGCGACGCAATTACGAGTAAAACGGGGAATATCAAAGTTTTCGAACTTTGAATTACTAATTAGCATATCCTAAATAAGTAGTTTATAAATGAGTAGTTTACGAATAAGTAGTTTCCCTCATTACTAGAGGCAAACGCAATTAAACTTTCGTAGTTTACCAGTATATCCCGGTTTGCATTAGCCCAGATACTGCGTAGATACTGCGAGTGTAGATATTAATATCTTGATTTAATATATTCAAATAGAAGAGAGAAAGAAAGAGTCCCTTCAATACAATATATGTATATTATAAATATATTTCTCTTATACAGATCGTAAAATTTTTTGTCAATTAATATAGATAATTACTCAAGTAATAAGATGACGTCAAATTGCGTTTCAACAACGTCTTATTAGCATTAGAAACATTATTAAGACGTCTTTTGATGTCTTATTAAAATGTCACCTTGCTACTTGGTTTACGATCTAAGTCATTACAATAACACGGGTACATAATTTTTTTATTGTTTTACTTCGGCTACAAGATAAATTAAAATTTTTATGTTTTACTATTTACTAAAAAATAAATTCAAGATTGCTCTCGTAACATGATAACCGTTTGTATAAGCTAGTTCAATTAAAAAGTTCCGAGATCAATTGAAGAGCTTTCATATTACTTTGAATCTCGGCAACCATGGCTTTTAACAAAAAGAATATCTCGCACAAACCTCTTATTTTAGCTGCAAACTCGTGTACGAAGTTACGCTCGTTCTCGAAACAGGAGCAAACAAGATGCTTCTCGGCTAAGCTTTTTTTTTCATAAACACTCGCTAAGGCATAAGGAGAACGTCGAAAGCTTTGGCCGAAGCTAAATTTGATATTACGCGAGTATGGAAAGATTTGAAACTTCTGAGATTCTAGCAAATAAACGATCACGTAACATTCTTGTCGGTAAAACTATTTTGTCTTCGCGAAATTCGAAATTGTTATTATATTTAAACCTGGCCAATTGTAAAATTTTAGACGTTATTGCGTCGGAATATACAATACATATCTGAATAAATCTCAATTTCAAAAATTATTATTTAAATCTAATTTTAAGTATTTTTTATTTTATTTTAAGTATTTATATTTTATTTTCTTGTTTAATCTTATTTCCTTTATTTTAATTATAATATATATATATTTTTTTCTTACTTTTCTAGACGTTATTGTGTTACAAGCATCGCCAGATTTTAAGACCTAAGTAAATAAATAAATTTGTGGTTCCAAGGGAACAATGCGCAGTGTATTCATCTTCATTAAATCGAGACTTGCAGCTGCATTACGCTCGATCTGGATTATAGGTACATACATATAGTCGCTGCATAGTTATGCGCGGTATTTCGCTGCCATACGGATAGTCCGATCGTAATTCGCGCGAAATAAGGCCGCCGATAGCGACGGCGATGGTGAAATATCTTTCACAAGATTACCACGACGGGATCATTTATCGTCTGTCTCATGCAGTTACGTTAAATGAATGTTTAACAAGCAGCTCGTAAATGCATTTTAATACCACGTTATGAAATACGATAACGTAAAAGTCAGTAAAAATCGTTTTACCTGTTTTAATTCATTTATATAACAAAAATCGGATTCTCTTCTCTATTTATATAAATATACGAAAATAATTATTACATATATAATATTTTTCTCTGTTATATATGTATATTATATATACATATATATAACATAAAAATAAGATATATATAGGCATATACAATATACACTTGACGCGATTCACTACCTCTTCATGTATACATATAATAGTGACAAAATAAAATATTATTAAATAAACTAATTTAATAATGGTAATCATGGCGTGAGAACTGCCTGTCTGCTCTTTATGCCAAAGGTCCACGTTCAAATCTATCCGGAACATATTAGATTGCTTTCGATCATCACCTCTCGGCAAGCAATAACAAACTACATACCGGGAATATTTGCCAAAACAGTCACCATGGAAAGGTACACAAATGGAGCAGCGAGATTCTCATAGACAAAATTCATGCGCTCCCAAGTGATTGCATAAATTGGAGACTATAATCTTCAGTCATAAAGGACCAATTTGAGAGAGAGAGAGAGAGAGAGAGAGAGAAAATTAAATAAAGTTATTTTTAAATCGAACTATGTTTTTAAGTTTCTAAAGGAAAACGATATCTAAACCATAAATTACTCCAAGTGTATCTTATAACAATTAATATAATTTCAAAAGGAAAAAGCAATCTCTGAAAAAGAATATATCGCGTTTCTTATTATTACAAATATTTGTTAATGATAAAAAACCATTTAAAATTATTAGGAAAGTACGTGAAATTATTAGGTATGTAAGTGAAATAAAAATCTATATGTTTACACAAAATGGATGTCGGCGAGACATCGTTTTCTTAATAAAAAAGAAACGGAACCTATGTACATACTTTATGTATACACAGGCAATAGAATGGAAAATCAGTCGGTCGGTCGTAAAAACGGGGCAGATGAATGAAGCTTATGATTGCGCAAGGATATGAAACGAAGTATACGGCTTACAAAACATACACAGGGTGGTTTATAAAGTCCCACCCTATCCCCCTGGATCTTCGAATGGCTGTAGATATTTAAAAAACGATGGAGTGTAAGTTCGACCATTTTTAGACACATTTTTTATGCAAAAAAGATTTCTTAGCCCCTTTTAAAGTCTATTTTTAAATTTTAAACTCTTGTAACTTTTAATAGGGGCATTGTAACGACTTACAATTTACGTGAAAATTTTTCTTTTAACTATAGCTTTAAAAAAAAATACAATTCGACCCTCTTTTCTATTTAAAATGTTTAAGTTGTCTCCCGCTTTTAAAGGGATTAAAAAAATTTGCATAAAAGGAGCAACCCTTAAAAATAATCGAACTCGTGTGCTACCATTTTTTTTATATCTAAAGCCATTTCCAGGGGGTAGAATTTTACAACCACCTTGTATATATTCTAAGCTATACGGACGCGGGACACGGCAAAAATCGCTCGTAAAAGGTAAGGTAGTCGACCACGGAATTGGAAAATATGTATAGGGGGTATCCGATAAATCACAATATAACCAACAAAGGATATAATTTTTCGTGAAAAAAACAAATAAAAAGTACAATAGAAATATATGTAATTGCAGTGTTAAAAACATATTATATAAATGTGAAATATAAGATATAAAATTTTTTATAAAATATATTATAGTAATTAAAATTTAAATTTAAAAGATATAAAATAAAATAGATATATTTATAATTAATTACTTAACTCTTGCTTCAAGAAAGATAATCTTACTTTTTTTAGAAGAATCTAAGAAACTAAAAGAATTGTTCAGAGATTTTA